CCGCGCCACCCGTCGATGGGAGGTGCAGATCCCTCCCGCCGCCGCTCGAGGGGGCGGTTTTTTCTTTTTCCTCCTCGTTTCGCCGCGTGGCGATGAGGGCGAGGGCCATATCCACCGCGTACTCCCCCGCCCGCAGCGCCGCCACGGCCTCGGCCTCCGTCAAAGCCGGCCCCCGCGGCACGTGCGCCTTCCACGCCTCATACAACGGGAGGAGAACACGATCGAGGATCTCAAAATCCACATCCGCCTCAGGCGAGATCGTGAGATACGCGCGATTGGAAGCGGGCGATGCGTTGGGTGCGGCGTTTGCCACCACCAGTGTGTCTGCGGGGGTTGCCTCGTTGTACTCCTCCCCCTCTTCGTAGTAGTCCTCTTCATAATAGTCGTCGTCCTCGTCATAGTTGTCATCCATGTAATCCCGGAGCTCTTCATAGAACTTGTTATGTCGATTCATCCTTTATATTGTTATTAGTATTATTCACTGCTACTATTTGTGTGATTCCCTTCCCATGTACAATCACCTAATGATGTCTCCACGTATCGGTGAAACGCTCAGCTTAATCGGCATGTAACGAAAATGTATACTTCACCGTAAGAAAAGAAAAAAAAACATTTAGATAAATATAAATAGAAGAGTAATTGATATATAATAGGCAATCACTTGCATGATCATGACAGTTTTCACGCACATATACGTGTTTCTCTAAAATATTAGAAGCAAATAATAATAATAAGAATAAAATAAAGCATCCACTCGCTCCGGTCCTTCGTAAATAAACTAAAGAGCGCATAAAATATACATCACAATCCCTAGCTACACATGCGCTTACGTATAGATCTGAGAGATTATTAGGATAAAATCTATTTAGCGACTTGCCAAGGCATGATACCATTTCAAAGATATCAAATAAGAAGCAAAAGTAGCGGAAAAGAACTCCGACTACAAATAAATAGAAGCCAGTATAATTACCTAAAATTATACCTTCTCCTACTTCTTAAAGTATTCACGCATCAGACTCTTTTTGGAATGTACCGCGTGACCCTCTACATAGTATTCGAGCTTTTGGTTGAGCCCCGCGATACCTTTCGAAAAGTCGGTGCTGCACGCGCTAGAGGATCCTACGTCAGGGGCCCTCTCCGGCGCGAAGCGATCGCTCCCGCTTGATAAAAAATCCACACTCGTGAGAGAGCACCCCGCGGCGGTGGTGGGGGGGGAGAGGAATTTAAATAAAAAAAGCGGCGAAGCCTTGGCGTTTGCCTGGCAAGACGCCGCCTCATCTAGGGTCCGTTTCGTCAGCATAAGGCCGTCGATAATCTCCTTGACGGTCTCTGGATCCATCGATCCGCAGCATTCGATGTAGTTCATAATCACCACCGCGAGAGCGACCATGTAGCGCACGACGAACAACGCCAACCACTTCAATGCGGTTCCTCGATGAAAAGACCGCACCAAGGCGGTTAACTGCGAGAGAAAGGGCGAAAAAAACATATCGTACACCTCCTGCTGCGTAAACGATGGCGAAAAGACGAGGATATAAGCGACAATAACGCGTATCTCAGTGAGAAGCGGAATCACATCCACACGCACGAAGGATAGCGCCGCGAGTGAGGTAAGCATCACCCACAGCTTTAATTCGGGGATGCCGAGCGTTATGGAGGTGAGAGGCGCGAGCCCTTGAACTACTTTTTCAGGCTCAACCGGCCTCCTCTGGGCACGGCGAAGGGTTGTGAATACCGCGTACAGAAACGCAACATTCAGAAGACTTGAATTGACAAAACCACGAACGGTATTAAACATGGGTGGGTGCGTATAAATGCAAAGGCATGCGCTAGACTGGATCGCTTTCCCTGAAAAGGATCTCGGGTATAAACGAAAGATAACAACTATGAAGTTGAGTTAAGCAATTGTAGCGTCTCTATCCTTTGAAATGAAAAATCTAAGGAAAAGATGAAGATCAAAGAAGACGATGATAGAGTTCGCATGACTCAGAAGCATCCTCCTAATACACCTGGCTTGTTCAGTAAAAATTAAGATCAAATATTCACAGCCAATTAAAGTGTTAATATTTAACCTCCAATTGGGCTCGAATTCAAAAATATTGTTTATTATTATCCTAATTCTTATAATATTTTTTTTTAAATATAATGAGCGAAAAATGAAAATGAACTGATTCATTCCCCATAGAACTTCATACAGAAATACATACATATATATATATATATATATTCCTGCTTCCCCCTTATTTTCCCACTCTTACGATGCTTGTGCTCATCTTACATCTGTGATGCGTTCGATTTGGTGGGTCTGATAAGCAAAAAGACATTTAGTAGATATAAATCCATCTCTTTTCATTTACGAGGGGGTATAAAGAAGAAAAAGAGGAATAAACAAAAAATAAAACTCACAAACAGTAATAAAGAGAACTATTGAAATCATCACAAGAGTTTGCTTTCGAACTTGCACTCTCTTCGATTTGATTTGATTAGTCCTACTCTACCAGGCACCTTCTTCCTGCTCTGCAAACGAAATTAAACCATTCAGTCTTTGCATCCTTCAATCAAGTCTTTTATTTTATTTACTTCATCGAATATTTTTCCGATACAAAAAACAACAACAACATCTGTAAACAGCCCTCTTTGTTGTTATTCATGTTTTACTTGCACCCACCCAGAGTTTCCTTCAGGCTCAAATTACGCATCACTGCACGCGAATCAATCGAGCATGAAAACACACAAGTTAAACTTTCCCCAAAAGGAAGAAGGAAAAAAAAGTTATACATTTTAAGATATTAAATTTATTATCCAAACATATATATATATTTTTCCCACCTCCACATTCGTTCCGATTTTCTCTATTCCTTTCTTCTTCTTACGGACACGAAAGTTTTTATGTTCGCACCATAAAAAAAAAAAGCCTTCAAAAAAGTGAAAATGGAAAGTACAGAAACTTGCCCATTGAAAAATCAGGGAGGGGGATAATGTTCAGTGACTACATAACTATCCCCCTTCCCCCTCTTCATCTCTTATTAGCAAGAGAAGCCCATTTTCATGGCATCTCGAATGGGCATGCTAAATTGGTTTTCTTTTTTTAAAATGAAACCCATGCCTAATGAGCAAAAAAAGCATGTTATCTCCCCAGTAGCAAAGTAACTGTGAGAAAAAGGTTAGTAAAATAAATAAAAGAGCTAAGTAAACAGCAATATATATATGTATATAAGTGAGTGGGTATCTATACATATATACCAATCGCTATTCATTTTTTCCCCTCAGAAAAAGGGAAGTATGTGTCGGAGGTGGAGGAGGGGGGGGGGGGGGAAGAAGGGGGAGGAAGGAAAAGAAGGGAAGAAGAGAGATTTCAGAAACCCAACTCACGGTGGTGGCCCTTCACTTCAGCCATTCCACCCCCTCCCTCCTCCTCCCCTCCCTCCTCCTCCTCCTCCTCCTCCTC